GGATTTCCCGGCTGTTGGGAGCAAGTGATCTTGTTCTCCCCTGTTGAGAACGTTTCAGCGTACAATCCGGATCTGGAGCGTAGATCGACTGGAGAGGTTTAGGGCAGTGTGTTGGCGATCGACAGGACTATGCGGCCGACACCAGAAGGATCGACGTCTCCCCAGCAGCAGCTTCAACAGCGTCTCGAGGAACGTGGAGTCTAAAGGCCCTACGGACCGTGCTGACCGTGGTACCCCGGTCTGCCCCAACCGAAGAATCATAGACTCGGAGCTCCGTAACTACCAGTTTTGATATTTTCTATTGGAGTAATAAAAATCGAACTCGACGTGTGTCGCAACGGACACAAACACCGGCCACTGACAAAGTGCTTTCGCTGGGTTTCTTGTGCGAGTCTGCATCTTTCATAAAGGCACTTTTTAGCGAAAATATATGTGCGAAATATAAAGTTATATCAAATAATAATAATCAGACGAACAGGAGCGTTTTGGTGCATCAAGTCGCATACATTTCTCATGATAAGTGAAGAAATTTTGTATTGATAACGATTGTCCTACTTTTCGACGTCGTTACCGAAACTGATGCTGTTTCAGGTTGAGTTAGGCAAACTGAATTTTAACGAAGAAGCAGAAATACTAATGAAGCAAGATCATCGTGCGCTTTCTTCTGAACGCCGAGATTTGGCCGATGCCATAATGAACTTTGAAGCCAGGTATTCTAATTTTATTGTACTCTTTATGCATATTGTTTGGTGTGTTTTCTGTATTTCTTATGCATACATATGAAACTGGGAAAGCACATAACCGATTAAGATTTTGTGCTGGAGCCTAAAAACACGGGATCAGCTCACATAAGTTTCTGTTATGTGAGCTGATCCAGGATTTTTAGGTTCCAAAAAAAACCGGCCCTTTTATATTTGATGGTGGAACTGGCCCTTTTATATTTGATGCTTTGATGCTATGTCGAATAATCGCGTTACCGCTCATTTTTGCATTATCAACGAAGTTGACAGTTTTTCTATTACAGCTATGATAGAAGTCGCATCAGCTGATGGTTTTTATGCGTTTTTTGCAGCAATGCGATGCAAAAAACGCATATTGACGAGAGGTTGTCTGTGTGTCCGTGTGTCTGTGTGTCTGTATGTGCGTCTGTCATGCACTTTCATCTCCGGACCTATAAAAGCTGCGGGGTTGAAATTTCGGGAACTTAATCTACATGCACGTACCGCTCGATCCCCAAAATGGGCGCCAAAACCCGCGTAGTACCCGAGTACGGGCCCCCCAAAGTTTTTTCGGGGTTCCCCAAAATGGGCGCCAAAACCCGCGTGGTATCCGCGTACGGGCCCCCCAAAGTTTTTTTGGGATCAGCTTATAACTCGAGGATCTGAGAAGCTAGAAGGCTGAAATCTTGGGGTAATGTTCCCCGCCCAAGCGGCTACTAGTGACCGGGGTCAGCTCATAACTCGAGGATCCGAGAAGCTAGAAGGCTGAAATCTTGCGGTAATGTTCCCCGCCCAAGCGGCTATTAGTGGGCTCAAATATCAGTTCATAACTCGAGGATCTAAAAAGCTAGAAGGCTGAAATCTTGGGGTAATGTTCCCCGCCCAAGCGGGTATTAGTGGGCTCAAACCCGGCCTCCGGGTAAGCGTGGTACCCGCGTACGGACCCCCCAAAATTTTTCTCGCGCAAATTCATAACTCGGGACCCAAGAGGCTGAAATCTTGGGGTAATGTTCCCCGCCCAAGTGGGTATTAGTGGGCTCAAACCCAGCCCCCGGGTAAAGCGTTGTACCCCCCTACGAGCCCGCCAAAATTTTTTTCGGGTAAGTTCATAACTCGGGGATCTGAGAAGATGGTACCCCCGTACGAGCCCGCCAAAAATTTTTTCGGGTGTGTTCATAACTCGGGGTTCTGAGATGCTAGAAAGCTGAAATTGTAGGGGGACGTTCCCCGTCCAAGCAGGCTAATAAGCTCAAATCCAGCCCCCGGGTAAGCGTGGTACCCGCACATGGGCCCCCCAAAGTTTTTCCCGCGCAAATCCATAACTCGGGGTTCTGAGATGCTAGAAAGCTGA